GTTATGTCGAGTAGTTATGCGGTAATGCTTTTGGTGTGCCAGATCTCGTGTACTCTTTCCGGTGCATCCCCAAACTTTGTCCAGCCAAACTGATTCAATGTATGGAGCATTTTGTCAGGCCTTTATCCTGGAATATCACGAACGAGTGGCGAACTCCACAACCACTACCGTTTCAGCGTGTCCGAATTGGCTTCTGCACCAGTTTCCGGTCTTCTCTTCAAGGAGGGAAACGGCTACCACTACTTGCCCAACCGACTGGCCGAAGACCCCGATGACGGCCAAGAACAACGTTGTACAAGTGTATGGAAGGGGTCTGTCCAGAGTCGGCTTTTTTCTGCCGAAACTCAAACTGTCTTGCGCGTCTGCATTCGCCACTATACAAAATAAGCTATCATAGAGACCAACTCAAGTTTGCATGCCCGTATAAGGGCTTTTCTTGTTGCAGTGGGCGAGCTGTGGATTTTGGTCGAAAACTGGTATGTTCTATCAACAAGGTAAAGTTTTTTAAAGCGGAGAAAGTGTGATAGTTTAATTTCAGAGATTTGATTTTCGGGCATTCACGTTCATGTGTAGATATATCGTTTGATCGCCAGACTGCTGATCCGGCTATCTTTATTCCTCTTTCTTCGTTTTCGTCTTGTTGTTTTTCTTGCCCTGGATTGAATCCTGAAATACCTGAAATGTTGCATAAATTCCTCAAATCTCTGCGGATGTTATTAATCTTACAGGAACAGCGATGGTGTTTGTTGTGCAAATCTGTTTCAGCATTTTTACGAATATAGGTCTCGCAACCGAACTGTTTGCAACCCTATCGCTCCCATCATCTCAGAAGTCGAATGTCCAATTATGACTTCGTCCAGCGTAATGCAGTACCCTTGATTTTGTACTGCGATTTCAGTCTCTTTGTAGTTTTCTATTTTGTTTTATCGTGATACCTCAGATGCTCCACATGTATTCTAAAAGGAGGTCAGTAACGTCTGTCATAGTCGTCGTCTTCGCGATGCGGTTCAGAATCGACTATATCCGGTTCCAGGGTACAGTTGTTCACCAACGGCATTGTCTGATTGGTACGAGTTTGGGTTTGAGCTGTTAATTTTGGTCGAAAG